GCTAGTTATGAAGAGTGAATCTCGATTTCAAGTATCTATACTTGTTGAGTCATGTTAACAATTAACAGAGAATAGAATGTTGGAGACTTTTATTATGGTTACTAGATTGATTCATCTTGTACTGATTTTACCAGCTTCTACTGCTACTATTGAGCGACCATTTACAGCAATGAAAAATTTAAAGATAGATCTTCATAAAATAATGGAGGATGACTTTCTTGCTAGTTGTATGAAACCTTTCATTGAAAGAGAACTTGCTTAAAAGATTATATAGATTCTGTTGTAGATGAATTTTATATTTCAAAACCTCGCAAGATCAACTTCATATTAAATGAATTTGACTTTAATTAATATATAAATTTATTATATCAACTTTTAAATTTTAGCCCGTGTGCCAAAAATTCCTGGATCCGTCCCTAATTGTCACATATTTATTCCCTGGTATTAATTTTAAATTAATTAACATTCACATTAATTCATGTATCATATTTGTCTTTCATCTTCATTTATGCATTTAGTTGTAATTCTACTACTCACATTCAAGAATGCATTTCAATATTACATGAATGTATAATATCAAAATTTATTTTCAAGGACTTGCATTTCTCTCATATTTGGATCAAAAAGGTAAATGAAGGGACTATTCTAATTGACTCCTTCAACTATTTCAATTGTTTTCACTGGTTATTATTTTATTTCGATCATCAAATATTTTACTTTCCTTTCTAACACATCAACAAAGAGGTTCTACTGAAATTGAAGTTGCTCATACATCATGAAATCAAAGGCTATAAGAGACTTATCAAGATATGAAAATGAATAGTTCATTAAAGTAACAATAGTTCGAAATGTTTTGGCCAAATCTCGTTCCAACAATGCTGAAATATTTGATATTTTGAGGTTCGTCCTAAATGTTAAAGAGGTAATACGTTCGTCCTCAATGTTAAAGATGTAATACGTCTACTACGATGACTATTTAATTTGTAATTACATTATGTATTAGAAGTAACATAGTATTTGACTTTTCTACAAGGATATAAAATTCAAACCATGTTATCTAATGTAAACGATGAAATTGAATTGTCTTTCATAACTACAATGAAAGTAGAAGAGATTACTGAACATATATGTAATAAGATATTAAATTCTTTTCTTCAATTTAATGAAGTCCCAAATTTTGCTAGCGAAAATATCGTGATTGGTATTTATATTTTTGGGTCAAATGCATAAGTTACAATCATGTTTGGAGAGTCTTACTAACTATTAGTTTCGAAATTCCAAAAACTCTACTCACATTTTATAATAAGCTTCTATTTTATTGATAATTATTTATTGAAATCTAAAAAACCTTCACATCACTATTGTGAAAGTAATGGTGTAGAAATTTATGATATCTAAAGTTGTTCACTGGCCAATAATTATTTTTTGTTCAAATTTTTTCTCCTTGTTTTCAAATATAATAGGGTTGGTGATCAAAGTAAAGCTTGCGTTCATTATCAACATTAAGAGTTCAAGTGAAAGAACAACGAAGAAACGGGTAGTTATTCTCCTAGACAATGGGTGAACACCATCCATAAAATCAAAATTTTTTTTTTTTAATCAAATAAGGCAAAGATAAGTTTTATAGAATTATTTACTCAACATTTTTGTTCAATGAAATTATATTTGTGGGGAGATTTGGCAGACAACAAAGAAAAGCTTATAGAAGATATTTTTCATGAAATGCCAATTATTGCAGCTTTGAATGTGAAAGTAAACTACTCTGAAGGTCATCTTTTGTAATTATTTTATTATAATATTCAAAAGAACTTCTTGTTCTCATACTCTTTCTAATGTCTATTGAACAAATTTCAATGATGAACTAAACATCCCCACTTCAATGTTCATGTCATGGAGATCAATCGACAACTTGAAGAAACTAACACTATAAAAAATAGGTGAGTTTGATTTATTAGGCCATCGTGATTATATTTATATTACAACTATGTCTAGGAAAATTTTCAAATTGTCGAAAGATTATTTATTTTGTCTTTTTTTTTCTTTTTTTTTTTTTTTTTTGTTTTTTTTTTTTTTTTTTTTTTTTTTTTTTTTTTTTTTTTTTTTTTTTTTTTTTTTTTTTTTTTTGCAGCACTAAAAAATTGCTGTGGTTCTCCTGTACAAGTTATTGAGGCCCACAAAGAGGATGATGGATGTTGGTATTGTAAAACCAGATGATATTGTTACAAATCGTGTGACTAAAACGTATTATGTCTAGCAATATTCTAAAGGATCAAAACATGAACAATCAATGATGTGAAATATGTAGAAGGTACCGCAAGAGTTTACCTTAGAGGTGGAAAAAAAAAATTGTCACATATACAAGATGCAAAATTAAGGACATAGCTTTTATTAGAAAATATCTGTTCAAGTTAATAGTTTCACATGGTAATCAAGAAGTTTATGTCACAATCTTTGATGTTGTCGAATCTTCCATAGGATGTGCTGCGGCTTAATATGCTGATGCTCTTTCCAAGGTAAAAATATAATTTAGATTTTATGTTATCAACATATCATATTGTTTCCAACTAAAATTATGTGATTAACTCATCTTTGTAAAACATTTTTGGGGGCGTTCTATGGACAAATACATTTGACAAATAATCTCAATCCTAACCCTTAAATTAATCTAATTTAAGTGTTTATCTAGCTTAAGGGAAGGGAAGAGGGGGGGGGGGGGGGGGGGGGGAC